CTGTTTCACTCAGTGGTGGGCGGGGAGCCCCGGAGTTGAAAAGCATTCCAACACACATTGAATCACCGAAAACATTCTGACCCATCCCCAGTCCCCAACGATACAACAAAGTTTCGGCTCGTTGAAGCTTGTGTAGCCACCGAGCCAAGCAGACAACCAGGAAAGCCGACCTTTACGGCTGATTGTGCTCTCCCTCCTCCCATGGAGCTTCCAGAGCAGCCGTACTTGGCCATCCGCAATTTTGATGCACAGAAGAAGATCACTGATCGAACTTTTTTCATGACAGGAGATGCTTTAACACAGACACTGGGATACATCCTGCCAACGTCTAAAAACTGTCTTCTGGTGCACTCCTTCCTTATGAAACAGAAATAACTGGACCCCTGTATCTCACGACCTTCCAGGGTATTCCTGTGAATCTTGGAGACACAAGAAGTACAACTGCTTGAAGAGCGTCGTCCGCAGTCATGAGGTGAAAGGCTGCTCTTCAGAAAAAATTGTGGCTATATTGTGAGGGTGTGGTCAAAGCCCGCCAGATGACTCTTCGGCGCCCTTGAAAGGAACACAATTGTTTTGACTTTCGATTCGTGCTGTCCACCAGCCACTGTTCGGGCAGCGTACTTGGTCCTGGACATGCAACCCTAAGTGCAAAACCCTCTGCGCTGCTTCAAGTGCCAGAAGTTTGGCCGTAGCCAGTCGTGATGCCGACACGCAGACGTGTGTACTCGTCGTGGCAAGACCCGGCATCCTGAAAAGGTATGAAAGGCTAGTCCTTTCTTTCTTTCACAATTTCCACGGCCAACACTTGGTTCCAAGAACGCACCATCCAAGAGTACAAAGCCCGAAATGGCTGCTAATTTCAGAAGGCTCGAAAGACTGTCTACCCGACAGTTATGACTCCGGTCCCTGGTCGGTTAAACGCAAAGGCAGTCCAGTCCGGCCGGTCTCGTGATCAGCCTGTACTTCTACTGCCAACCTCAAAGAGCTCGTGGTCAACAGGCGAAACTGCAATAAAAGCTAAGAAGGTCCCTCCTACCCCTGTAGTAACCACCTTCGAGGGGCCACTCGCCAG